TTCATCACCTTAAACGAAATTGGGTGAATACATCTCATATTACTGATTTACTGGTAGTCACGAAACCAATACTTAATTCGAAAAAGACATAATCATACACAGAATTTATACTCCCAAGTACTTCCACTCTTTCGAAATTCCAAATGATCTATACTGGCATACCTTTAATTTCGTTTGAGAAGGCCGGTGGTCTCACCGGACGCCGACGGATAGTCTTCTTGCCCTGGTGTTAATGTGAGACTTTTACAGGAATGGGACCCAGCTCTGACGATTTCCATCATATGATGGGCGAAAAATCAGCCCATTTTCACCCGAAATGAGCGAGGCCTTGTGGACTCCGTCAACCTGAACGTTGTATAACAACCAAACGGCTGCTGTACAACGGGATTCATCCGTCCTCTTCCGGTGAGATCGACCTACGACTTTTTCTCATGCACTCTCATACGAAATGAAAGTCCCTTCAACAATACATTACCTGTGTCATAAAAGTCTGTTTTACTCAATTACTTTCAAATATCTTTTCATATTAGCTATTTTTTATCAACTCTTTTTAGGCTATCTCATTATATCTGCCGGAAAAACCGGGTATTATTTCTGCTTCTCGACATTGGTCTCGCCAATCCGTGATTCATTCTACTTCTCGTGCGATCAACAGATGCGGCAACAGCAGCAGCAGCGGTAACACTAACAGCGCCAGCAGAAGAATACGTAACACATACACTGGGGCCAGCGTCAGCAGCCATCTACATCATCATCATTATCATCATCATCACCACTTCCATTACGACCAATTTTACCATCCAGCTAGCAGGTGGGTTCATCTTCGCCATACATCAATTGGTGCAATGACCTACCGCTCGCGGCTCCGTCCTCGACCTCGGCCTCTTCTTCAGCCCGAACTACATCCCCCTTATCCTCCCACCTCTAGAACTCGTAGCCCTCTATCATGGCTTGGCGGCTGGACCAACCGACCCTCGCCACCCGCTGCTCCCGTAGAGTCTCGTTGCTCAATATTCGCTGTCATTAATCCATACCATATCAGAGTAAACGGAGAAGAGCCCATTCGGCAGCCCGACAGTCAACAAACGAGCTCGACGCACGGAGAGGCTTCGGTAGGCA